TAGCTATGTAGAATCGATTCAACACAATCAATCATTCTCTCCAAATCAACCATTTTCATGAATTGAATAAAAAGAGAAAAACTTACAAGTAATCCCATCCAAGAGTTGAATTCGAGTTACAAGCTTAATCCCTAACTAAGAAGAAGAATAAAAATGGAAAAGAAGGGTGAAGAAAGAGGAGAAGAGAAGAAGAGAAGAAGAAGGAGGAAGAACAATGGAGAGAAGAGTCGATTTTCGGAGCTAGGGTTCCTCCCCCATTGAGAACCCTCCTCTTCTCTCGTCTATGGTGAAGAAAATAAAGAAAAACTGAGTTTAGGGGTCTTGGGTTCGATCTATTAAGCTTCCAATTCAAAAATCCATAAAAATCGCGCCTGTTACAAAATAAACCTTAGCGCCGCTAACAGCCTTCTTAGCTGTTAGCCTCTGTCCCGCTAAGCTTCCAAAACGCCGCTATCCACACAGGCCTTAGCGGCGCTAAGGCCTTAGCGCCGCTAAGGCCCCCGGCAGCTTTGCATGACTTCACGGTTTGGGCTCGTTCGGGCTCGTCTGGTATCGAAATTCAATTCCCTTTTTTTCTACGCATCGCTAACGAGCCCCTCTTTCTAATGGTGTCAGCTTCCCCAAAAGATTCTCGAAAACCTATTTTCCCGAGGTCTCCAAAATACACACCAAAAATGAACAGAGAATAGAAAAGGACCGGAAAACAAATGGAAAACACCGCAACACTCAAATGAACGCAAAACACATAATAAATGACAAAAAGATCCTAAAACCACCTAAATGACTCAATACGGGGGAAAAAGAACGGCAAAAAGATAACGAAAAACACAACAAAAATGGGACAAACACAAACTTTATAAAAGGTTTTATAAAAGGTTTAAAATATGGTCGAATAGTTTGATTCGACTGGGCGAAAGTTTTTTCTTTCTATGACTCCCTCTCTGTGTGCGCGCTTCGGAGTTCTCTCGAACCATCAATGATTGAAACATAGTTAAAAGAGAATATAATACCATATTGAACAAAGAAAATGAACCTGGCCAATAAAAAAAGCTCCACAATCGTGTGATAACAATGTTAAAAAAACTTAAAAGACAAGATAGTTGGCCAAACTGAAAGAAAAGACACTGGGGAAAGTAGGCCAAACACAAGTCTCTGAACTAGGTCTACACCCCCTCAGTTTTTGATCGCCTAGAGAAAATAAGGTTGAACCTGACCTCGGGTATAAAATCCTCAAAAGTCGATCCACCCGACACGACAACAATGAAGTTGTTGCCTTGGGATGAATATTGTCGAGCTTGAGGCTCGACAAAAGCTAGTTGACAGGACCTCATCACATATGCCCTTACACGCTATAAATCATCCTATAAGCTCTACGTCGCCCTTATCATCAGACATCCTGATCGATTCCCTTCTAGAAAATATCAATGTCCCCTAAATTGGGCTATATGATGACATCTCATACCTTGATGCCCACCTCAACCTATACACGATGGACCTACATGGGGCTTGAGATGCCCTCAGGTGTCGTATATTTTCACAAACTTTAGAGCCCAAGGCGCATACGTGGTATCACTCATTATTCCCCCACTCAATCCAGAACTGGTAACATCTTAGGTCGGTTTTTTGATCGCACTTCATCGAGTCCCAGGTGTGCATAATACCAAAAAAATCAGTCACGAATATCTTGCAAGGAGTCGAGGAGAGTCTGAAGGACTATATTACTCGTTTTAATTAACACGTGCAAAACATCGATTCTTGCACTTGAAGATGTTGTTGGTTTCAACATATTTTGGTTTGCAACCAAATTCGATGTTCAGTGGTCGTTGTGTCAAATTTGACCAAGAATTTATGTCCTGAGCACAACAACACGTTATTGTCGAGGAATCCATGTCGGTTCCGTCCTTTGATTTGTTGAGCAGCGCAGGCATGAAAGGGAAAGAGGCGAAATTGGGTTGGGATATATTGAAGGGTGCCCGTAATGCCCAAGTTTGATCCTTCAGGAAGCAACAAAATGAATAAATGAGGGCGAATTATCATGGTTGTACTCGACAGGGCTGTTGTGGTATACGAGGAGTTGAGGGGCCTACCACAAGTCGTACAGGCACAATGTTGACTAATGTCATAATCTTATCTTAGCCTTGTTAAAACTCATTGGAGATCCCTTAGTTTAGAAATTTGCCCGGAACCCAGAAACGAAAAAGAGGAGCCGGCTAGATGGTGGCCTGGACAATGAAGACGAGAGATATTTTGATGTGAATCCTAATAGAATAAGAGAACCACCACATGAGATCTTATCTTTCAGACAAGACTTTTAAGACGAGGCCAGCTACTCCCGAGTTAGAAAGTGTGGCCGCACATCGCCAAGTCGATCAGACCCAGCGACTGACCGACCAGAACGAATAAGATCATCCATGACTCTTCTCGTAAATACCAGCAACAGAGGATCGACTGTATCGAGAAGGAATGCAAAGGCTTATGTCAGAAAGACGTGGAACAATGGGCAGAAAATTCAGAATGATGATTGCAGACGCACCACTCTGGTCCAAAAAAACCCTGTCTTTTTTTTCAGATAAGGATGTTGTATTGTTTGATCACTCCCACTCTGATGCCCTTTTACTCACAACACCAGTATTCAACATTTCGGTGCACAGGATTTTGGTTGACACAGAGATATACACGAGTGTCTTGTACCTAGATACCTTCAAGAGGATGGGAATTGATCCAAAGAAAGTGAAGCGATGCAATGATAGGATTCAAGGGTTTAACGATCAGACCACAATTCCCAAGGGAATCACATTTCCAACTTAGTTTGGCGGAGATGACCTGATCAAAATGACGATTTTAGAGACTTTTAAGACCGTGGATCATAAAAACGAGTACAACACCATCCTCAAGAGGACGGACCTATATAAACTCTGAGTCGCGGTTTCTATTTCTCACCACGCCCTTAAGTTCCCTACATTAAAGGGAGCGGACTACGGAGATCAACGAGAGACTCGAGACTGTATTATGGTCATCCTGTCTATGGAGATCCACGGAGCTCAAAATATTGATGTTTTGAAACCAACTGAGGAAGGGAGCAAAAAGGAGTTGGCGCCAACCGAGTAACTTATACCAGAGCAAACGTCGCAGGGTATCCTAATGATGGACCCCGTGGAAGAGGCTCAAGAAACCTTTGTTTGTCGGCACAAGAGCACCAGCTCGGATGATAGTCCGCATGAACAAGAAGACATGACTCATGATCGAGGAAGACGGTCTGGCAAGGAGCCCATGAAGGAATAAGACGAGCTCCACCAGCGTGACCGGTTCAAGGAAAAAAAAGGCGAGCATGCCGACCCGACAAAAGCGATTGATATTATCTACGTTGACGATCTGACTGCCAAAATCAACTTCTCAATGGTAAGGACCTAGTCGAACCAATCTGATCCGAGATGATTCTATATTTTAAAGCGAACGCCAATGTATTTACATGGGCCCACGAAGACATGTTGGGAGTAGATCCATAGGTGGCCTGCCATAGGTTGTAGATTAACCGAATGGTCAAACTCGTGCTCCAAAAAAGAGGAAGCTCAGACAAGATATGCAGCAATCCATCGAAGAAGAATTGATAAAGTTGGCCGACAATCTGTCCATTTGGGACGTCCTTTATCCTATATGGGTTTTAAACTCAGGATTGAGCTATCCAAACTCGGTCTACTTTGGGATCGAGTTGTCCCAACTCGACCAGAGTGGAGGGTACTAGAGGATATGAGATACCATATCGGGTCAACCAAACAAAAGAAATCAAACAACTAGACTGGATTGACACGATAATTAGGGTTGCAAGCTAAAGGTCGACGTGAGGATAATAACCAGACTGACGGTGACATTCTAAAAAGAGAAAACTATCTACAAGACGAGCTCGAACCGAAGAGCTCGACCTGGTAGACTAAGAGGTCGTCTCGACCTCATGGATAATAGAGGAATGAGGGAATGAGATATTAGACCTAAAGATTATTCTACATGACGACGTGGATCTGGTCTCATGACAAGACAAAAAGGCATCTAACTAGGGAAATACACCATAGGAGGATTGGACGACGTGTCGCAAATATGATTGAGTCTTCTATACACCTGACAAGCCTGACATTCTGAGACGCTGCAAGTCGTATGACCAGACAATTTGGACAGTAGGGTCAAGTCTCAAGGCAAACTTGGAGAACAAGACACCACAGCCCTATATAAAGGGGTGTGGTAGGTTAGTTACGGTTTTACATTCTCTAGACGGAAACTAAGCTCCCACTCACGACCCAGAGTCGTCCACAGAAGCGTTAGTGAGCCAGTACCTAGTATGGATCATACATGAACACTAGTTGGAGTCGGCGGCTCTCCTAGAGCGATAGCGAAGTTCAGTCAAAGTTCGATCGAACTATTGAAATTCAATAAATAAGCAGGATCGGTCACAGAATGGGGATCAGGAGAAAGCTCAAGATCGGAGTAGCACTATAAAACGGCTACCCGACTCTAGTCAGACTTGTCAGACTTCTTCCCGCGTTCTCCCATACACTTGGTTACCATCCATCACCTTGATCCATATATTGACTTAGGCATCGGAGACTCTTCTCTTGAAAACCCCATTTCCAGTGTCGAATTCTTGTAGGTTTGGAGGTCGTCCGAGTAGAGGAGAGCAGATCCTTGTTGTATTAGCCCAAACCAAGGACGAGCAAGATCCATTTCACTATTAAATGAAAAAAATCATCCAATATTCTTCATATCAAAAATAAATTTTAAAAAATACATATAGCATCTTCATATATAAAAAATGTGCACACACCAAACATAATATATTTATTATTACCAAGTAAATACACATGAAAAGAGAAACAAACACATTTCTCAACCTAATACACAACAAACAAATGAACCATACATCAAAAGGCACACATTTACTTTTTTTTTCTCTTTTTTTTTTTATTATGGGCACACAAAGTATATAAATATATATATTGTCATTCAATTAATTAAGGTATCCCAATGATTGGGAAAAACGGAAGATAATAGCTAGATGGTGCCAATCCCCATTCTCTCGGCAGAGGCAAATCCACGGTCTTGGACGAACCAAGCCCATTGTTTTGGGCCGAACACTTTCCCCTGACAGGGCACTTCTTGTAGAAGCTTAAGGGCCTGGATGTAGCGAAATATGGGCCTACTTTAGAAATTGGGACAATAGAGTCCTTTTTCGAGGAGTAGATTAGTTGTGGGCCTCCCATGATCCTGGCCATGCAGTGTGATGGGCTGGATGATTTCGGGCCGTCCGATGGCAGGTCGGTTTCGAAGGTCCCATCTTGTTCAGTGTATGCCATGGTCAGCTTCTTGATTCTGTCACATTTGATGAGGACTTGAATTCCTATGTACAAAATGACAATATCACTCGTTAACAAAATACGTAGAAAACAGTCCATCTGAATCATTTATGCAGGCCGAGTAGCTCATGTTCAAGTTTGTGTTCGTCTAATAAACGATCTGGCTTGGCTCTACCTGTTTAAGTTCGTTTCGGCTCGAATCGAATCGACTCGTACAATAAACCCAAACCTTATGTGTTGTTCACAAAATATAAAAATTCTGTTTGTGAAGAAGTTTGACTCAATTATTTCTTTCAAAACCCATAAATAAAACGAGCAGTTTGCGAACAATCTCAGCTCGATTCGTTAATAACAAGTTCAATTAGCTGTTCGAGCTTGGCTCGTTAACGAGCCGAGCTCAAACTTTCACAAGGTGAATCCATCTGTGTTCGCGAACTATTTGGTTCGTATATTTTATATTCTCTACATCCAAACAATAATAGTTGCAGTTAATTTAATTAGTCTATTAGTTCAGTGGTAATTTTGTGTATCATACTTTTCATTATACGTTGTTTTGACATGCAAGAAAATGACTTAACAACATTCATAGATAAACCTTATAAAATCTCTTAACACAAGAACTAGAAGAACCATATATCCTAGTAATAATTACTTCTTAGTCAGACTCTAGTTAATCACAACTTTTCTTGACAAATTAGTTCATCAAACACGCACAGCGCGCGCACACACATATATATATAATGCTACAAAACCTGAGAGATCATAAGTTTTCGGGCAGTCGAGGCAGGTTATCGACCCTTTGAGGACTTGGCCAGCATACGTTTGTTCGCCTTTCGCAAGGGCCAAAGCCAAGAAAATTGCTACGAGGACTCGTTCTATCGCCATTTGAGCTAAATATATGGTTAAAAATTTTGAGTGTTGTGCTGATAATATGGAACAAAGATCACAACAAAGGCTATGGTATAAATATTGCCACAAAGTATGACAAGAGTAGTAAATGAAGGGCCCGAATGCCTGAGTAGGTTGTTGTGTGTGTAATAATATTTGTGTCGTACAATCAGTAATTTCTTTGTCCTTTTTTTTTGGGAGTGTCTATATGTACACCCCCTCAAGTGTAAAAAAGGGGTGTACATATAGCACTTTTCTTTGTGTAATTTATTAAAAGGGGGTGTACATATAGCATTGCCCTTTTTTTTTTCTTATATTCTTGAATTCATTGAAATTTGGATATGTTAATTTTTTGTGTGCATATCATGTGTCATGGCAGAATCTTGTCTGGTACTGAATGCTATTTTTATTTTTACTATTTTTTATGCTTCAGTTTGAAGCATACTTTTTAAACCCGGCCCCGAAATCGACCCGGCAGGAATTCGGGTAGACATGACCACGGGCCGAACCGGCCCGCGAACCGGGAACCCTAAGGGCTGGTTCATTGAACCGGACCCGTAGGGTCGCGGTTCGGTCCGGGTTCTATTTTTTTGTATTTTGGTCCCGCGGTACAGGCCGGGCCGAGTCGGACGGCGGGCCACATTGTTAATTTTTTTTTTAAGGGTCGTCCCGGCCCGTGAACCGTCGGGTCACCGTCGGGTCGGTGAATCGGCCTTTAGTTTTTAGAGGGCCGGCCGCGGGCCGTGTGTTGGAGGGCTCGTGGCCAGGCCTTGGCCCGTTGACTGGCCACCACTATATTCGGGTCACCGGTTCAACTGCCTGGTCACCGGTCAATTGTTGAACCGAGTAATTAATTTTAAAATTTTTTAAATTATATATATAGTATTTTTGACATATAAATATACAAAAGTAAATGTTTTGTATTTAAAATTTGTACATCAAAGTGTTAAAAGAATTGTATCTCACAATAAATATTTACTTTATCAATATATTTACATAGTTTTTATTTTCTTATATAAAAATAGTCAAGAAAAATAAAAAACGTCGGTTGGATCAATGACCCAGGTCGATCGGATCAAGTCCAGGTTGGCCGGGTCCATTGTTACCCTGTCCAAATAGCCCACTTGAACCGATTCCAGCTCGGCGTCGGATGGGTCCCGAGTCCACCTCTCGGGTCGGTCCGGATTGAAAAACAATGATTTGAAGAGCGCAGGTTGCACGCTACAACATTAATAGTTTTGCTTAACTATCCCAAGGTTTATGGTACAACACAATTATTTTTCTACATTATAGAATACATTGACATTTTTCATAAGTTGTTACAACTTATATATGTTACTTATTTAACTACCGTAACCTATGTTCTTCTCTTTTAATTCGGTTAAATTTATGTTTGGTAGACAAATAAGTTAACTTATAAGCTCTCTACATTCAAATAAGCTCTGTTTGGTAGGACGAGTTTATTTGATAAGTTTCATTGAGTATCTTTTCAAATAAGCTCGTTGAAATATTTATTTTAGTTAGCTTATCAGCTAATTTTATCAACACTTATATCATATAAGCTAGGTTTTCAGCTATAACCTAAAAAATTACTGATAAGCTATAAGCAAATTTTACCAAACACTTTTATCATATAAACTAGTTTTTCAGCTATAAGTCATAAGTTATAAGCTATAAATTCGAAAATTATTGATAAACTATAAGCTAGCTTATCTGCTATCAGCTAGTTTTACCAAATACAGCCTTAAACTACGGTTAAAATGTTTAGGCTACTTTGAAAATTTGGTATATGTTGAGCAAATGTGACTTCATGCTAAGATATAATCATACTTTAAAAAAAAAAAAATTGTAAAAAAAAGTGTATTTTCAACACTTTTTGAACAAATTATTCACAAATCCAAATGGAAACGAAAAAATTAATTTCAAATTCAGAGAAATTAAGTAAATTTGTCCTGAAATAATTTTGGATTAGAAAACTTCTATGAAATTATGAAAAAAAAAAAAAAAAAGTTTGGTGAAGCTCCCAACGACCCCCAAAAAAAGTGTAGTAAATTATTTGTCAGAAATACTGGTGAAAAGTGAAAACGAGCATGCCCCATTTCATTTACTACAACCAAACGGGGTAGTTGACTGCCTCTTCATCTCTTTTTTACCACATAAATACTGAATTCAATTTACCTTTATCCAACATAATTTACCTCTCCGACGACTACACATCAAAGCAAGCACAATTTATAATTTATTTACCTTTAATTGAAATGAATTGCCACCCTATATCTTAGGTTTCATTAGTTTCTTCACAAGTGCATGCTATGCACATGCAATACTGCTTAATAATGTGTACATCGTGCATACTAGTTTGTACTGCAAACCAAAGAGATTATTTAAATTACACGAGATCATGATACCTAGGATTTTGCCATTCATTAGAGATAACCTCGTTGATCTTTATTTGGACAGTCCAAACATTTTCATTTGCCGTTAGTTTTCACACCGACTAGAGAAGTATATAAGTAGAAAAATCCATTGTTATTCAACCCCGGACCAGCACGGCGGATCGACCTGGGAGTTGACCGACCCGGAGTTGGAACCGGTCTGGATGGGCTATTTAGACCGGGTAATAATGGACCGGGTCAAAACCCGGCCAACCTGATCTTGACTCGGCAGCAGGGGCGAAAACATTTGGAGGGTCGGAGAGGCGACGGCCCCTGCAAAAAAAAAAAATAACTAGGGATGGATGATTTTGCTGGAACTGGAAGATTTTCCTTTGAACGCGCATGTTGGGCCCTCCCCAGTTTCATGCGGTACATACATGACCGGAGGTGCGCCACCGGTTTTGTCGTGAAATTTCTTTTAAAGGCAAATTGGTCCCTCCCCGAAACGGAATCCTGGTTTCGGGACAAGGAGAACTATAACAGCAACATAATTTAATAATTTTTTCATTTTTATTATATTTTGAGTTGGTTAATTAGCCGACTTGCGGTGTACCGACGGAACTCAAAAACCGAGTCGATCATTACCGAAAAATACTTTTATGAAAGTACGGGAAGCAGAGAGTCCGTTGGTGGCATCGATTTATGATTTTGAGATCCCGACCATTTATTTTGAGTAGCCCTAAGTTGAGAGTAAAATGGCAGTGGCGGTGATTTTATTGTCATTTTCATGTCTAGACTTCGGGTAACCGTCGGCCCTCGTTAGGCGTGCGGAAAATTAGCGGGAGTGTTTTCTTGAAAGCACGAGAACAGTAGAAGCCGTTCGTATAATTTATTTCACGTTTAGAAGTTTCGAACATTTATTTTGAGAAGCTCGAAGTTGAGTGCGCATAATAGAAGAATAAAAAGCCGTTTTGCGGGGTTCCATAAGGTTACGTGTGACCTCGGTTTAACGAGAATCGAGTTGGAGCGTGTAGACAATTCAAGCACGATTCCATACGGACAAATTTTGTATTTTTCGGAGTTCCAAGCATTTATTACGGGAGTTTGAATTTCTGCGTTAAATAGTATCAAAAGGAGCAAATTTGTCGAGGACGAGTTCGATCGTTCGAGGCTTCGTTTTC